GTGTGATTGCATACAGTGCAGCTTCTCTATGACTATAACGACATCGTATGGACCAGAAAAAAATGTCACTATAGAGAGTTGCCGTTATGGAGTGGCAAGCAAAAGTATTATTACTAATGATATAAAGAAAAAATGGGGACCCAGGCACCATGTGGCTATAGAGAGGACGTCATATCAAAGGTTGTTATAGAGAAGCTGCACTGTACTTTGCCTTTGGGTGCTCCGAAAATCGTACTGGTAAGGTTTATCGTCAAGCCTCAGTGATGTTGTGGGATGGGAGGGTCAGCTGTATACCTCGTGTACCTTTTGATCTCAAAATATCAATCACAATAAATCTGTATGTTTATATATATTGCTCATATGAAATTTTCTAAAAATGTTGCGTAGGTTTGTAATAAGCGTACATTTACTTTTGGTGCATTTTTTTCTTCACTTCATGACATATATATTTTATACGCATTTAAAAGCTTTGATTTTCAAACAAGGATTGATATTCATCACCATAATGCCTTTATTGTTTTAAATGAATGTCTATTCATGTGTTTACTAATTAAATCTCTCTAATGAAAGAAAAGATAAGTGCTTTGGAAAAAGTGTCTGTATAGGTAAAGGTTGTGTTGATTTTCTCTGAAGAGACCATGGAAAGTGATAATTTTTTTGGTCTAGATATTACTTGTTACAAATTATTGTAATTTTTGAACCTGTAAAATTTATACAACAATGAATTGTACCAAAACTTTCCTTTTTTGGTTTGGTTCAACATTTCATTGCCGGTCCCAAGCTTTGATAAAGTTTAAATGAAAATTTATGATTCTTTGTGGTTTCTGTAAATTCTTTGCCATATCGACAGGCCGAAGGGTTTGAACTCAAATGGCCACAGGAGCGGAAAAGTAAAGTTAGTAAAGTGGTTTCTGTCAGAGAAAGCTTAGTACCTGCAGCAATAAAAAGAAGTGAAAACAATAGCTTCTTACAGTTGTTTTATTGTATCATTTCAATGTAGCAGCTTTTGGTATTTGTGAATGAATACCGAACGACAGTTAAGTTAAATTACTTAAATGTCAAACCTTAATTTATGGCCGCTTGGTCTCTGTGGCCTTGTGTCTTTTTATTAATGCCCGAGAGTAGTGTTGAAATTGCTCTTTGTGCAAAACTTTTATCTTACCTCCTTTTTAAGAGATTACCCCTTGTATACGTAGAGGTTCTGGAAATATTAACATTTTAAAACTGATATTACTTTCAGTCAGTATCTTGACCTATTATATCTACTTCTACAGTATTACTGTGTATCCTTATTACTATTAGTATTAGTATTGTTGAAATAAGTCCATCATGGTCTTTTTTATAGTGGTCTTCGGCTTGTTGTTTATATTAGAAATGTAATTCTCTTTACACCCCGTCTTGAAATTATTTTCCCTTTTCTTTTTTGTCAGTCTTAAATACCTACTGTGTTTTCATCAGACATTCTGTGTTTCGATAGGAAATACAAGATTTTTTTTTTTATGAAGGCTGTACACCTCCCTGTGATTTGCTTCATATAAGTATGGTGGTGATGATGTTAAGTTGTAGAGCCTTGCGCAGAATGAGGCGGTTTCTCAACTTGTCTCCTTATGTCTGGGTAGTCTCGATCTGTGCATGCTGAAACTAGATTGGATTGGTTTTGATAAGTTAACACAATGGTGGCAGCACAATCTACCCAGAAAGCGGGTAAGGATAATTGGTCTCTTTTAAGGACAAACGGGCTAACACAGATTTCGGGGGTTTCCAGAATTCTTGATCTACCCCAAAAGTGGGCATCGCCCTACCTATAGGAGAAGTTTGGTTTCATTGGTGTGTATATTTGTTTGGTTATAGAGAAAACTCCCCTTGTCTTTAAAAGAAACTGAACAAGGGGCAAAAACTTTAACTTCCATTTTCTCAAAACAGCATTTTTCGGGATTGCCCCCTTGTGCTTAAAAGTGACAAATTGCAACTCTGAAAAATGAAAATAAAGTCCGCTGGGTGACAGAATTAAATGTGCTTGTTACTTCATGGAGATTCTATGTTGTTATGCAGTTGTTAGACAAACCCGCCTTCACAATCCGCTGCATTATATAAGCATTTAAGAATTCTCTCAATATTATGTAGCCTGAACTCCACTTTTTAAACATTTACCTTACCTTAATTGTCCATTTTGATCTGTCAGATGAAATCCAGGCCTTGCTCACAGCATAAACGAAATGTTGTTTTTTTGTCCCCTCACTCTGTTTGCTGGAGTGGAAAAGTCCTGTCTGATATTATTGATAAAAAGTTGTCTATTTCTGCCCAAATAAAGGTAACAAGGGATGTCCAAAGCCTGTATGCAGTTGCGAGCGCTGTAAAGCCTCTACTAAAACTAAAAACTGTCCAAAGCCACCAGAGAATTTTAAGACATATATTTTTAAGTCAAATGGAATCCATGTCTCTACAACTGATCTCGCTTATAATTTCTTGTGAATTCCAAATTACCGATACCGGTATGTGGAACTTTCTCTACTTTTAGTAGATATATATATATATATATATATATATATATATATATATATATATATATATATATATATATATATATATATATATATATATATATATATATATATATATATATATATCTATCATTGCTGTCACAAGAGAAAACCGTACTCAACTCTGATTGATCTTGCTTTCTCAGGGTTAACGAGAAAAAAATTGTCATAAAAGCAAACTTTTTCCTGTGAAAGTGATGATATACCGCAGTGTCAGCATTCTGCAAATTGCAAAAAGCAAAAATATGATGAGTTTTGTTTGAAATATGAAGTGTCACTATCACCCAGTTTGGTCATTACTGCTGGTTTGTTGATGTTGTATGGAATGATGAAGTGTCACCCAGTGTTTGGTCTTTACTGCTGTTTGCACCGTTTTCAAATTTATCAGATTGCTGTCTTACCTGTATAAGTCACGAACTTTTTTGTTTATACAAAATAATAAAATCCAAATGTCTGAAGAACTATTTGTTGTTTCTCTTTGTACTGTGTTTTATTAGTTTTTGTACCTTGTGAGTTCCATGGATGGTAGGAAAGATGTTGACTCTAGTTGTGGCAGATCTACCAGTTCAACTCTTTCCCTGTGGGTGATTTTGCAGGTGCTCTGGTGTGGTTTGCTTCTTCTTTCCTGTCAAACATCTATCGTCCTTATCTCTCCTTCTTCTTTTTTGTTTGTTACTCTCTTGTAACACCTCTAATCTTCAGCACTTATATGACCTTATTGTGTTGCTGCAAGTACTGTAAAACATTTACTAAAACTAAAACGACTCTTTCCCTGTTTGTCATTTCTTTGTTAATTTTAGCCAATTTCCCGCAAAATGTGGAAAAATAATAATAAAATGTCATTAAAAACAGAAATCTTCTTCCACGACTAAAAATAACGACGCCAAGGGGGACAAGTCGCTCCTTTGCACTATGGGGTGCCCGCCGCCGCCCAGTGACCCGGGCCAGGTCAGGTCGGGTCGGGATGATCGCCCGACTCGTCGCCTGAAAACAAAGTGTTTGTTTTGTAACAACGAGTCGGGCGCGCTCGACTTGTGCCACGATAGCCGCTTTGCACCATCAATCTAGCGAGCAAACCGACCCAATAGTCTTGTTTCGACTGAAACATCTTCTTTCTAGTCTAGCTAGATCTAGATCTACAGTAAAGCAATCGTAAACACGGTCGTCTGATTACATTGTACTTAGCTTGCTTGGTTCCGTAGCACCAGGTAGATAGATCTAGTATAAAAATTTGTGAAAGACTTTAATCTTAGGCTAGGAGGCTAGATCTAGACATGAATCAATTCATCCAGAAATCTCCTGAAGGGTACGTTCAAATAATATCATCTTACGCCAGGAAAAAAACATCTTGTGCCAGGAAAAAAAAAGGGGGGG